GGAAAAGGTAGGAAAAATAGAACCAAAAATCAAAACAAAAAGATCAAAACAAAAAAGAAAAACAAAAGAAAACATGACCCAAAAAAAAAAAAACTAAGCCCTAAAAAATACATCCTAATAAAAGGTCTAACAGAGAGAGACTCCCCCTCCTCTCTGTACCCCGAGGCAATAACTAAAACTAAAACTAAATCTAGTCCTCTGTGATGAAAAACCAGATGTTGACAGACAGCAAAACACAGCTCCCTAGACCTCAAACAGTAGACCTCAGACAGTTGAAAACTGACCCTCAAATACGTCTTCGTGGCGTGCCAGGCACGAGGCCCAGGGCCCCCACCCCGTAGAAACCACAAACACAGAAAGAAACAAATCATCAAAAAATGCCTGTCGAAGGAAGAGTCTCATAGACCCAGCAGAACAGGGATCTAACTTTACCAGAGAGCTGTACAGAAGACAGAAAACTAGAAACTCATGAAAGAAAAAAACATAACCAGAAATAAAAAAATAACAAAACAAAACCCCGAGTATAACCACCTGCTCTAGGTTATCACAGACTCAGAAAGGCTACTGAACCTGAGTGGTTCCAGCCGAAAATCCGGAGGGCGAGGCATACGCCTTCTGCCCTGGGGGAGAGTAGTGTACTGATGGGAATGCTTCAGCAAGGTGGCTGTGAACAGGTTTGCCAGGCACCATTTGAAAACGGGCACCACGCAACACGAGAGCAGAAGAACCTGGAAGAAAAACATACAAATGGGGACTAATAATCTCCTCACCCAAACCTGCCAACCTCCGTTCGCCATCCAATCAAACCTATCCCAGTGGGGAGGAGAAACAGTTTCTTCAGCTTTCATCTCTGAGAGCAGGCTGTTAAGATGATAAATAGACATAGAAATGTTTCCAGAGACATCTGGGAGATAGGAACAACACGACGGACCTATAACATGACAGAGACCCCCCTTCAGAGGCTAATAACAGATCCAAAGCTAGGTGGTGCTGGAGCAGCATATTTCTCGACGCTACCAGGAAAGGAGACAAAGCAGAAAAGCCTTCCTCAACAAAAGCAGTTAAGTTCTCCAGCCGAGTGTGCAAAGAATCCAACTTATAAGCCAGATGAACCGTACCCCACCAAGGAAAAATACCACCCACTACCTTGTCACGTGTAGAAACCAATGTCGATCTCTTTGACCTATGATCGCCATAAGAAGAATGCACAAACTGAGGATAGTGAGGGGTGGTGTAAACAAGCTGATCTATCACAGTGATCGCAGGAACCAGATCAACTAACGTGCAAGTACCTGACCAATTTGGCGGGATAACTTGGAAATAATGAACACCACACAACCAGACATAATCCTGGGACATCCTGCTCCCAGGTCATCAGGCCAGGCAAGAAGATAGGCCTGAATGGCAAAAGATGAAGAGAGTTTTTGTGATTTAATCCTAGAAGGCACACGGCGAACAAAGCAGGGAGAGACATCAAAAGGGGGCGGAGCACAGGTACTGTCAACAATTTGAAGACAGCCTACTGTCTCACCAAGGAAAAGTCTATCAGGGCTCCGTGCTCTGTGAACACAAAAGAGATGAGACATAGAACTGTATGAGGGATGAACAGTGCCCACTGGTTCAAATAAAGAAAAGTCATCATGTAATCAGTAATGCACTGCTATCCGTGGCTCTGATGGCAGCACGAGACATGTGTTCACAAGGTGCTGGAAGGTCTGTTCTAGCATAAGCCCAGCCGTTGGCCCCCTTTAAGAAAGGAGGAGTCAGCACCATCAAAGCACACAAGAAATCAGTAGAGTTCAAGGGGCGAGGCCTAACAGGAAGAGACATGCTTGCATCATGTGGAAACAAAGTGCAGGCATAGCAGGAAGTGTTTAAGCCAGCTCTTTGCAGAATAGACCTGACCGTGTTCCACCAAAAATTCCCAGCTTGACCCTTAGACGCCACACCAGCAAGAACAGGGGGGTAATGGACAGCACCCCCAGGAAACCCAGCATCTAAGGACRTGAAAACAGGAGATAACTTGGTGATAACATCTGGGACACGGACAGATAACCAGAAAGGTGCACAAACATCGTAGCCAGTTATGTAAGCACAAATAGTATAAAAACCAGTGTCAGATTGAACAGCATTTGCAACGTGAAACATAATAGCTGGAGAAGTGTTGTTTACTTTCCAGATTTTGATCCTGTTCTTAATGTCAGAGACATCATCTCTAAGTGTGTATCCCCAGTCAGAGTAACCTGTTGTCCAAAGAGCCTCTGACCAAGAACTGCAGGTGGGGCACACATCAGGAACGCTGTAACAGACATACATTTCGGCCCATATCATAACAGCAATGTCCGAACAGTAAAAATAGTCACATGGGTTCAAAATGACAGTGCCAGTGGTGCCAGCTGTCACAGAGATGTTGGGCCCATGTGTACAGTCATCGATCCAGGTGGAATGAGCTRTCAAAACAGGTGGGTGGGGGGCATCTTGATTAATCAGTTCTGGAACACGCCCACAGYTGAATGGGGTGAAAAAGAGCATAAGAAATAGTCTAGCAACAATGCACCCAGCCATTTTTCTAGGCTCAGGTGCAGTTTTTCACTTCAAAGGATATGTGATCAGCCGATCACAAAACAGGAGCCGAGGTCGTAGCAGTGGCCTCGTGCTCAGATGTAAGAGTAGTACCGTCCGGTGCTACCCTGGGGGGATGCAGGACCTTCCTGCAATGGGAGATGTGGATCCAAGTCGCACGCTCTGCGATCTTTACGGCCGTCCGGGTAACCAGTAGAACCTGGAATGGACCAATCCAATGCTCAGACTTCCAGGTCGCCCGTCTGAGGTTCCTCACCAGGATGTGATCACCGGGCCTCAGGTCGTGGAGGGGGTGGTCCGCTGGAGTCGGGAGAGCAGCTTTTACCTGCGAACGAACACAGTCAAAAAGAGAGGATAGTTTTGAACAATAGTTTAACATCTTATCTTCACACAGGTTTGTGAATGAGATCGCTGATGTTCCAGGGTTCAAACCCACGTTTGGTGGTACCGCAAAAATGATCTCAAAAGGACTAAGATTACTTCTGCTCCTCCTCCTAGCTCTCATGTAAAARAGCACCAATGGRWAAGCTTTTGGCCAGGATAAACCTYTTTCACTGCAGCACTTTGCCAGTTTCTGTTTTATTGTGCCATTTTCCCGTTCAACTGCACCCGCACTCTGCGGATGGTAAGCACAATGCTTCTTCAGGTCAATCCCAAGATATTTACTAAGTTCAGAAATGGCTTCGTTGGCAAAGTGTCTACCGTTATCACTTGAGATCTTTTCAGGAATTCCCCAACGGGGAATTATTTCAGATAACAAGCACCTGGCGACATCAGACGCAGTTTGTGTAGATGTTGGGAAAACCTCCACCCATTTTGAAAACATGTCAACAAAAACCAAACAATATTTTTTCCCTTCAGCTGGACTGAACTCAATGAAATCCATCATTAAATACTCAAAAGGTCGTGAAGGTGCTGGATGGGCTGCTTCAGTTTTACTTTTAATTGGCCTCCCTGCATTCAGCTTGGCACAAATCATGCAGGACTGACAGTGCTTCTGAGCAACAGTGGTGAAACCAGGGGCAAACAAGTGAGTATTTTTCATAGCGGTAATCCCACATTTTGAAGCATGATCTAAGCCATGTGACAGTTTTGCAAAAAAGGTTGAAAAAGTGTTTCGGCAAACAAGCTTTGGAGTCAGGCCCCATCCAAACGTCATTTTCAAAGGTACAACCTGCTTTCTTCCAGGCCTGCCTCTCCGGAGCAGTGGAAAAAGACTGCATGTCTTTCAGCGAGCAGGGCTCTGCAGCCTTATCTTCAAAGAATGTAAACACTTTGTGGGCCATAAGCAGCCTCTTTAGCTGCATCGTCAGCAGCTCTGTTTCCAACTGAAACTGGGTCAGTGCTGTTGGAATGAGCAGCACATTTGCAGACTGCTATTTGTTTTGGCAGCAGAATGGCTTTCAGCAGTGCGGCCACCAGTTTATGATTCAAAATTGGTGAACCTTCAGATTTCAGGAACTTCCTGTGTTTCCATAGTGCCCCAATATCATGCACCACCCCAAAAGCGTACCTGCTGTCAGTGTAAATGTTTACTTTCTTGTTCTCAGCCCATCTGCACGCTTCTGTTGAAGCGATCAGCTCAGCAGCTTGAGCAGACAGATGACCTGGTAATGAGGAGGAGCAGAGTACATCAGCGTTCTCATTCACCACAGCAAACCCAACCTTATTCTCACCTGTTCCCATGTCCCGTCGTGCTGAACCGTCTACAAACAGGTGAGCCTCAGGTAGACTCAGAGGTATATCAGACAGGTCCGGACGAGGGTTGCAACTCAGCTCTAACTCTGCGACGCAGTCATGTGGCTGTCCTTCGTCAGACAGAGGAACTAGCGTGGCTGGATTTAGAGCTGAGCAGCGACGCACTGTGACATTGGGGCTTTCGAGGACACACGCAAAATAACGCGTATAACGGGCCGCGCTGAGATGTGATGTTTTTTGTTCATTTAGGATTTGTTCTACAGCGTGGGGGACGAACAAGGTCAGATTTGAATACCCCACGATGTCGCGTGACGCTAAGATAGCCTTTTCAGCTGCTGCTACAGCGCGCAAACATTTAGGCAGCCCGGCCGCTACTGTGTCTAGCTTAGCGCTAAAAAAACCAACAGGTCTCATCTTATCACCATGCATCTGGCTTAGCACCGAGGTCATGCAGCCAGATCTTTCGACAACATGCTGATAAAGTGGCTGTGTCATGTCTGCAATTCCCAGACACGGAGCACTCTGCAGAGCCTTTTTCAAAACCACAAAAGCATCCTCCCCTTCAGGATACCACAAAACTCTTCCAGATGGCACCAAGCCGGGGGCGTGACAGATTTCTCTAAGTGGCTGTTCTAACTGTGAGTAGTTGATGAAATGCCTACAGTAGCCAACCAACCCTAGGAAAGACATCAGCTGCTTCTTTGTGACAGGACGGGGCATAGAAGTGATGGCTGAGACCCGCTGCAGAGACAGCCTCCTACCTGCAGCAGATAAGACATGCCCTAGGAATGACACCTGCGATTTTGCAAACTGCAGCTTAGAGAGGCTGACCTTGTGACCCTGCTCCGCCAGATAACATAACAATGCCACAGTGTCCCTCTCACACTGGACCTTAGAAGGAGAGGCCACCAGGAGGTCATCAATGTACTGCAGAAGGGCAGATCCAGGTGGCAGCGTGAATGATGACAGGTGTAGGGGTCACCCTGGTGAAAAAAAAAACTTTTCTATTGTTTATTTTCTTTGTCTTTGATTTTATTTTTCTTCACTTATAAG